AACTCTCAGATCAACAGTGTATTGATCGGGTTTCGGAGTTAGCCTCCGGAGATGTTCCTTTTTATTCTATAGGGACTGATGGAGGATTGAGGTACAAGGGACGTTTAATTGTGCCTTCAGCTGATAATTTGAGAAATGTTGTGATGAGAGAGACACACACTTCTCAGTTCTCTGTACATCCAGGGGGAGACAAGATGTATCAGGACATGAAACGCCAGTTTTGGTGGGCCGGCATGAAAAGAGATATAGCTATCTTTGTCTCTAAATGTAGCACCTGTCAGATGATTAAGATTGATCATCAGAGACCGCCAGGATCGTTACAGCCACTTCCCATACCAGAGTGGAAATGGGAGAGTATTTCCATGGACTTTATAGAGGGATTACCTACTTCACAGCATAATCACAACTCTATTTGGGTCATTGTTGATAGATTGACCAAGTCCGCTCACTTTCTGCCTGTTCGTTCAAACTTTACGTCAGAACAGTATGCTAAGCTGTATATTGCAGAAATGGTGAAACTTCATGGAGTACCATTGTCCATCGTATCAGATAGAGATCCGAAGTTTGTATCGGGATTTTGGAGGAGCTTTCAGCAGGCTTTGGGTACAGAACTTTATCTTAGCACTGCTTATCATCCTCAAACAGATGGACAGACTGAGCGAGTTAATCAGATTTTAGAAGACATGTTGCGGGCATGTGTTCTTGATTTTAAGGGCAATTGGGAGGAATATTTGCCGCTTTCAGAGTTTGCTTATAACAATAGTTATCAGAAAACTATTGGTATGGCACCATTTGAGGCTTTGTACGGCAGACCGTGTAGGTCTCCTGTCTGTTGGCTTGGAGTTGGTGAGAACAACTTTCTGGGTCCTGAATTTATTAAGGACACGTCAGAAAAGATCGCTATCATTAGGGATCGGATGCGTACAGCTCAAAGCAGACAGAAAAGTTATGCTGACCGTCGAACTCGTGCTTTGGAGTTTAAGGTTGGTGATCAGGTTTTGCTTAAGGTTTCTCCCATGAAGGGAGTAATGCGGTTTGGGTCAAAGGGTAAGTTATCGCCTCGTTTTGTGGGTCCTTTTATGATTACAGATCGGATTGGGGCAGTAGCTTATCGTCTGGCTCTACCAGATAATCTTCATAGGGTACATAATGTTTTTCATGTATCTATGCTGCGAAAATTTCTACGGGATGAAGATCGATACCAACACATTGATGTGGGTGAGATTGAGTTGCAACCCGATGCAACCTATTTGGAACAACCTTACTGTATTCTCGATCGTAGGAATCAGATACTGCGCACGAAGACTATTCCATTAGTACGTGTACAGTGGAGTCATCATAATGCTACAGAGTCTACTTGGGAACGGGAAGATATTATCCGTGCCAAGTATCCAGAACTTTTTACTACAGGTATGTAGTGAATTTCGGGGACGAAATTCCTTTATTAGGGGGGGAGAATGTAATACCCCGTAATTTTAAAGAATGTATTTAAATTAATTTTGTGTTAGGTTAATTAATTTTATTTATTTGTGCATACTACATTATTATATTATGTTCATTTAATTGTGCATGTAAAGTAATTGTGTATGTTAAAATAGTAAATTTATTCATTTAATTATGCATGTATTATTAATAATAATTTTATTTGTTGGTTATGCTTATATTAATCATTATTAGCTAATTAAAGTATTATATTTGTGTTATATAGTATTATGATGTTATAATGTATTCTTTTGTAATAATAATAATTATATTAGTTTAATAATAATAATAAAAAAATAATAATATAATAATCATATAATAATAAAAGTTTATTAATAATAATATTAGTAATAATAATAATAATAGTTATAATAAATCAATGTAATGATGGAAAATTAAATACTAGGATAGAATTTCATTTACTATGGTAGAATGGTGGATCAAATATCTTGATTAAAGATAGCATTGTCTTAAAGCCATATAGGTAGGAATATGAGAAATGGGTGAGAAGTTATTATAAATTAGATATTTGTAATATTTATATTATATATTTTGTGTATAAATTAACTAGCTTGCCTTAGAAAAAAAAATAAAAGGGAGTTAGAAGCAAAGTATAAATTCTAGAGAGCTATTTTATAAGAGTGAAAGGAAAAGAGAAAGAGAAAGAAGCTTGGACCGGTGTAGGCAATTTTACCCGACTACGCGCAGACCGGCGGATTTATTTTAAATCCAAAAAGGCAAGTTATTATCTACTTTTCCCCTTTGAATTAATAAATTAATTGTTTAGCTTATTTTTATGCATAGAGCCAAGGTTTGGAGGTTAATAAATTATTAATTTTATTTTATTAAATTAATGGAATTTTAATTATATAGGATGGTATATATTTATTTAATGTCCTATGAAATTAATAATGGCTAAAAATAATTAAATACGACTTTAGGGATTTTTCTAGAATTTTCTAGATTTTTCCGGGCATTTTCTGCAATTTCCGGCGACCTTCCGGCGAGTTTTCCGGTCGCCGGCAGTGGGGGAGACGACCGGAGTGATCCGGTGCGACGCGGCACACCATAGGAGGGTGTACGCGCGCATCCTGGCCATTAGTGGAGTCTGATTGATCCGGTGCATCGCGGTCCATGATACCGCGGTACACCCGGATCTGTGGGCGTTGGATGGAGGGAAGATAGGGTGAGATGATCCGGTGTGACGCGAGTACGGAATCCGGATGCAGCCAACCAACCAGGAAGTGACACGTCAGCAAGGCACCCTTAGTGCGCGCGTGGCAGCGCGTGCGCGCGCGTGGGAGCGCGTGGCTGATGCCAGACGCGCGTGGAGGCGCGTGGGAGAGTGGGGAAGGTTGGGCTGCGCGTGGGGAGGCTCTGGGAGGCGCGTGAGGGCGCGTGTGGGGTCCCTACAGCTGCTGGAAATTACCAGAATACCCTTAGGGCCTGTTTTGTAAATTCCAGAACCTTAAACTTGGATTTTTAGGTACTGTGTTGGTAATTACGGGTTAACGGGCCACGAAATTATTATTTTAACACCCGTTACTTATTCTTATGGCTGATTAATCTTTTCTAAGCATTTATTGGCTCGTTCGCAGTACGGATACTAATGTGATTTATTTAACGACATTGTTAAATATAAATAGTGTTATTATCGTATTTAATGGTATCAAACATTACTGTTAAATTAAATAAGGCCATGGTTTTAATCAGATAAATTATCCATGATATCTTATAGGATGTTTATACTGTTAATTGATATATAAACCATGATTATTATGCTGTGTGCATTTCAGGAAATAAATGGACTGTTTAATTATGTCGCATTTATATTATATGGATGTGTTGCCATATAGAACCATATGAGCTGGCTAATAAGTTTAGACTCATTTATACCTTATGCATTCGTTGCGATAGACAGATGTGTGGCTGTCGGGGTATGTGGTTTAATATTATTGGCATGTGTTGCCTAATTGACATACTCGGTATATTTATTAATATTATTGGCATGTGTTGCCTAAATTGACATTCTCGGTACATTTATTAATATTGTTGGCATGTGTTGCCTAATTTATATGCTCAGTATATTCATCAGTACTTTGCGAGGTGTTATCACTGTGTAGTTCGTTATAGTCTGCGTTGTCAGTACCGTACACCATGTATAATAGCTGATTTCCCGGGTAGGGAAAGGCGACACTTGACCACCTAGTGTGAGTCTAAGTGATCACCGTCTATTCTGGTTGAGGTCATGTTATACATCGGATAGTTCCCGTAGGATGTATACAGATATAGTACTCATCCGATTCATAATGATTAATTTATTTGATTCTCTGATTTGGGTCATAGTAGAGAGGACTTGCTCGTGGGGTTGACCCACCATTGTTGTTATTTCAGGATACGGTCAGTATCCGTTTCAAGGCTGAGGTTAGCAGTGTGGGACCATCATCCGAACTCATCTACTCCTACGATCCAGTGCAGGGTAGAAGTTTTATGTAGTATTTCAGTTTCAGTTTTTATTTACTTTTGACGTTGAACTCTCAGGGTTATATTTAGGGATCCCTGACGTAGGATTTCCAAGTTGTAATGAAGTACTGTATTAAATAAAGGATGGATGGATGTTGTATTATTTAATGTTTCTTTCCTGTCTAAATTCTTTTAATTCCATCATTTTGTATTCCATGCTTGTATATTGCCAATTGTTTTGATATCCCTCGTTTTTCGTGCATAAGCCTGATCAACTTATGCGTGAAAAATGTGGGGGTGTTACAAAATTCATGAAACTATGATATATTGAAACTTTATTTCAGTTCCATATTTGGAATTTTTAATTTATTTTAATGGTTTTTATAATAAATTTAGATAAATGGAGGAACAGTATGTTAAAATAATACAATCATTTTTTTCTAACTTTATACTTAATAAAGTTAGAAAAAATGTGTTGAAGAAAATATTATTTAAAAACATTTTTAATCCAACATATTTTATTATTTTATTTATCAAATTAATTTTGGTTACACTTTGGAACATCAAACATGTTTTGTTCTCATATTTCTTAGAACAATATACATTACCAAACATGTTCTACCATGTTTTTGTTCCGTGATTCGGTAGAGCAAACTTGTAACACCAAACATGTTTTGTTCTCATTTCAGAACATCACACTACAAAACACTTGTTCTGTTCTAAGCTAGAGCAGTACACTACATCACACTACACTTCCCAAACGGGCCCTAAGCATGAATATATTTTTGCAACTATAGACTTGAAAGTGTATAAGACAAAATAATTCTACTTATTTTTTAAAATAAAATATTTTAAAATACCAAGATAGAGAAACCAAGGATAAAAAAATTAAAAATTAATGGATCGACCTATAAATAAAAGTAAAGAATTATAAAATAATAAAAAAAAAAACAATAGGAGTATATGAATAAAACTCCTGTATAAGAGGAAAAAAAAACAAAAAAATTAGAATGCACTACTCATTTACATCAAAGGAAAAAAGAAGATCAATTTACCTAAACTCCTTTTTTGGTACCGCAATAACTTCTTTTGATATGGAGATTCTCCAAAGAAATGAATCAGCCATAACAACTTTAGATATCTCTAAATCATCTTTGGGTACCTGAAAATATGGCAGATGAGACTAAGCCTATTTGGAAAGATCTAACAAGCACCTCTAAGAGGTTTTGTGCACGAGTTCATAACAGCAATGGAAAGGTTCCAACAATTAGAAACATGCTATATATGCAAATTAAGATCACGAGCAATGTATAAGATGTATAATTCCATGCTTCTTCGGTAAAAGAGTATAGTTTAATGATGATTCCAAATATAGAGCATGTTCCCAAGATTAGCTCATAATGTAATAAACATTTAGAACATAACTCAACATTAATAGAGAAGAATTTATGCAAAATCACTCAAAGGGGTAGATATTAGAATAATCTCTACCTCAATTGAACATGAAAGTGATATTGTGAGAGGAAGATTGTGATAACGATGATCTACAGATTTCCACAAGCGATGTATAAGACGTATAATTTCATGGTTCTTCGGTAAAAGAGTATAGTTTAATGATGATTCCAAATATAGAGCAAGTTCCCAAGATTAGGTCAAAATGTAATAAACATTTAGAATATAACTCAACATTAATAAAGAAAAATTTATGTAAAATCACTTAAAGGGGTAGATATTAGAATAATCTCTACCTCAATTGAACATGAAAGTGAAATTGTGAGACGACGATTGTGATAACGATAATCTACAGATTTCCCGTTTCCTTGTCTTCCTCCTCCTCTTTTTTCTTCTTCTTCCTCTCTCTCTCTCTAGCAGTTGAACCCCTCTCTAACTCTGTCTCTTTCTCGGTTCTCTCTTCACTCTCTGCTTTTCTTGTATTCCTCGATGCATACAGTACATGAGAAATAACAACAGGTGTAGTGGTGTGGTAGACATGTGTCTAAGTGCAGGGAAGAGTTTATGATCAAGACAACTGTCCCCTTGTTGACACGGAGATGCCACTGCACAATCTACTACCACATCTTTCACAAATTCTACAATTTTGACCATTAATTTTTTTTTAATCAATTTCACCTACAGCCCTGACTTTTAACCATATTTCACTTATACTCTTTAAGTTTCAAAATTTCACCTACCTCCCCTTTGTGCAAGTGTCATCTACTTTGCTAACGGAACTTAGTAATTTTACAATTTTGCTCATCAATTATATATGAATATCTATACATAGATTGTTTATAAGATTCAAAGACGAAAATGCCCTTTAATTATCCATTGAAATGAATATATATACATTTATTTGTATCTCTTTATCCTCCACCACCGGCCCTTTCTTCTATCCCCGCCGGCTCCTCCCACCACTGTCTTCGTCTTTAACGGCCACCACTATCTCAAAAAGCCACCACCACCACTTCGGAATTGGGTATGTGAAACTTCACATATGTATATTCAATCACATATATACACACACAACACAAATTTTCTGCCATTTTTTCAGATTGAAGGAATTATGGGTAGCCGGAATTAGGTGGTGATGTTATCTATGTTTTGGCCATATTTTAAGGAAAATGAATTGCGATTACTGCTGAAACTACTCTTCTATTTTTTTCAAAATTGTTGGTTAGACTTTTAAACATGTTGGTATTTGAATTTTGATTAGAGGTTGCTTTTGTTTGATGAGGTGGTTCTCTTGCTCTGCTTTAGTTTCTATGTTTTAGAGGTTGCATATATATAAATATATATACCAAGTATATGTAGTCATCAGGCCCCCATGATAATATTACATTGTTGAGACCACATCCTTGAGAGTAATTCCATTCTTAATGATATAAGCCGGGTTCTTTGAATCTGGATTGTCCTTGAAATACTACCAATTATGTATTTATATTTATAGAGTTTTATCAAACTTAGATGACAATATATATATATATATATATATATATAAATAATATAATATAAAAAATAAGTTACATGCAGATAATTAAGTTTGATTGAAGAAGAAATACCTTGTGGTGAACAATTGATTCATCAAAAGCGCAACCAAGAGGGAATGTGTCACCTATAATCTCAACATTGGTTAGAAACTGAAATTAAATAATTAAAATAAATATATACTAAACCAACAACAATCCATTGAGGAAGTCCTCCAAAACTAGGATGAAGAAGAACATTTCCAAGATCTGAAACCCATACATTCATAAGAATTACAAAAACATGTAAACAATCAGGGCTTGAAGGCGCTGTTGGAGACCCCTGATTGAAGTGCGAAACGGAAGACCGGTGATTGGTTTACGATTTTGGGGAGACCAGTAGTGTTGGTGGCGTCAAAACAGAGGACGATTAATAAGGAGACGGCCAAAACGACGTCAGATCGATGGTATTGATGATGGTGCTGCCGCTATCGTCTGTGATGGTGGTGATGCGGCAATATGAGGACACAATTGTCCTTTTGAGTTTATAAATTAAGGGTAATTTTGTAAATTTTCATTGGTAAGTGAGGTTAAAAATGTCATTTCAAGTATTGTAAGGGCAAAATTAACCTTGTACTGATTTGTTCATGCTGACACCGTCAGTTGCTTCATGGCAGGGAGTAATTTGTTACATAGACCAAAACCTCAAGAGAGGTAGGTGGAATATTGAAACGTAGAAGGAGTGTAAGTGGAATATAGGCAAACGTCAGGGGGTGTAGGTGGAATTAACCCCCCCCTTTTTTTTTTTTTTAAACGAAAAATGCAACTACCATTAAACAGAAAGCATAATATAATCAGAAGTACAAGCATTTAACAACCACAAAGGCCATATGCTCCACTCAAAATTACAACATTTGGCTGCCAAAGCCTTTTTACTCAAAAGATGAGCAATAACATTACCCGAACGGGGGGTCCAAACAAGAAAGGCACCCACACAAGAAAACAGAAGGGAAGGGATATCGTCGAGAATAACCGAGAGGGCTTCTTCGGAGGGGTGGAGAGCCATCACCGATTTGCAATCACCCACCACTAAAACCTTAGAATAACCCCACATGTTGAGAAGAGTTAGAGACTCCCGAAGCACTAAACCCTCAGCCACAGTAGGACTACATACATTCTGCAGAAAAAAAGACGCCACCCGTATAGGATGACCCAAGTGGTTCCTAAGCAAAACCCCACCACCACAACATTTAGAAATAGAGCAGAATGAAGCATCAAAATTCAACTTGAGACTACCAAAACCGGGTGCTACCCAACGGGATGGGCGAGGAGGAAGAGATGGAGGAGGAATGGACTTGAGAGCATCCTGATTTCTAACCTCGCGGAAGTCATGAAAATTCAATTTGGCCCATTTGGAAACATCAAAAGGCTCCCAGAGAAAATTATTAAACATAAGATCATTTCTGCTCTTCCACAAAGACCAACAAATAAAAGCCACAAGGCTAATGCAAGCGGACGAATCCGCACCATCTTTCCAAATCTCAGTAAGGCTAAACCAACGCTTTTGCCAATAAGATGGAGACAAGTTGCTAAAATCCAATCTCAACAGACTAAGCTTCCAAACTTTACAAGCAAAAGGGCAAGTGCAAAGAATGTGATCAAGCGACTCAACTTCCGAACCACAAAACTTACAAAAAGGCTCCTCGGAGCCACCACGCTTTTGGAGTTGAGTAAGCATTGGTAAACGATCGTGGAGACCTTGCCACATAAAAAGTTGGATTTTTTTTGTAAGTCTGAATTTTCCAAACATCACACCACATTTTCGACTTGACCGAAACAAAACTACAACTCGCTAGATTAAGGAAGATCTTGCGTTTTTGGAGGACTGAAAGAGCAACATAATAGGCATTTTTCACTGTGAAGCTTGTGTTACCATGACTCGTCGTTTCCGGCGAGGGTGTCCGTGTCGACACGATACGACACGGACACGGACTCGGGATATGCGTCCGACCTTGTACGGTCAAGATCGGACACGGCCGTTGAAGAAAACCCTTGTTTCAGAGGTCAAAAATTGTGATTGGAAATTACTAGTTTCGGCGCGATTTTCAGGAAGGAGGTTTTGGAGAAGACGAGGGTTTTTCACACGTTGGTTTTGCATAGAAACCTACCCTATTTGGAGCGTGTTGTTCATGTTCTCACGCGTACACAAATTTCGCCAGATAGTTGCCTGTCATTTTCATTTAGAAACGTGTGTGTATATATATGGTAGTACTCCCTCTGTTCCATAAAAAGTGTCACTTTTAAGGAATCGTGCCTCTCACAAATTGAATTGACACGATTTTTCAAAAACGACACTATTTTTAGGACGGTGGGAGTAGTATATATATATATATATATGTATATATGGTACCTATATAATTAAACACATTGAATTAATGAGGCTATACTAGTATAGTGATCCTATATAACTATATAATTAAACACATGAAATTAAAAATCTCACACTAGTTTAGTGATCCATATATAACTATATAGTTAAACACATTGAATTAAGGAGGCTAAAATAGTATAGTAATCCTATATGACTATATAATTAATCAAAGACATGGAATTAAAAATCACACACTAGTATAGTTATCTATATATAACTATACAATCAAACACATTGAATTAAGAAGGCTACACTAGTATAGTGATCCTATATAACTATATAATTAAACACATGGAATTAAAAGTTAACTAATGAGACAATAGTGATCACTAATCAATTGATAACTATATAGTCATTGAACTCATGAGACTATAATAATCATTACTTTACTATTGAGACTATAGTAATGAATAGATAAGTATATAGTAATTGAACTTATGAGACTATAGTAATCAATAGTTAACTAATGAGACTATAATAATCACTAATCAATAAATAACTATATAGTAATTGAGTTCATGAGACATAGTAATCAATAGATAATTATATAGTAATTGAGAGATTATAGTAATCAATTGAGTTAGATGATGAATTAATCATTTAGATGATTTATTGCTAATTATTATTACTTTGCCTATTCAAATTTAATCACTTAGATGATTTCTTGCTAATTATTATTACTTTGCTTATTCAAATCTAATCACTTACATGATTTCTTGCTAATTATTATTACTTTTCCTATTCGAATTTAATCACAATGACTAATTGAATGATGAAATGTGATACCCCCGGATTTCTGAATACGGGTTGGCCAGGCGCACGCCCGAATACCCGGGGATATCAAAAACAAATCGGTAATAATCGAACACAGAATACAAGAGGATAAATAAGAATAAATAAAGATGCTGAAATGAACACTAAAATGATAATCCAATAAATCCTCATAATAAATTTTTATTAAATAATAAAATATTCTGATACAACAAATTTTCCAATACAACTCGGGAATCCATACTGTGTGGACCCCTAGAAAATCATAACTGAATAAGTAACCATAATGACTGTCTACATCTAAAACATGAAACATAAATGAATCTCCTAAGTAGACTCGGAAGAGTAAAGAAGTAAAGTAGACTGATCCCTGCTCAACACGAACAATCCTCTACACCTGAAGAACACCTGAAAAATAATAGCGGGTCAGGCCTACAAACAAGTTCTACTCTACTACAGTCCAAGCAGAAATCGATACACGTATACATCCTAGTCAATCCAACAATAACTAGTAGTCCGTATGTATACACACACACACACACACAGAGTAAAGGAACCTCACTAGACTATAGGGTTGCCTCAACCTAAATATTAGGCAACATGCAAAACGCACACATAGTGGGCATGAGTACCTAGACCTACCGGGGCGCACAACTACATTATATCTAGCTACACATCCCCAGCAATATACGCACCCTAACCATAGATCCTGACACTCAAGCTCATATCATGGCATATAATTATATATATATAATCCATCCTATCCAGTATAAAGTAATCCTCTATAAGTCATTCAACTTGTTTAGCTAACCTGACTTGAATATAAGGATGACTTAAGATTTTAGTTAATCTATTCCCTTATAACAAATAGGTAGGACTTAACTGATAAGTTAATCCGTCCCTAAAATGCCACCGTCCCATACCGGTGCATTAAACCACACAATCCAACAATTGATGTAACAAATAAAATAATACATCAAATAATCCAAAAATTAACATAATAATAAAATATCATGCTAACACAAAATAGGAATAACTAATAAACTTCTTTAAGCTTCCTACATCCTGTATCCTATACAAACTGAATCTTAAATATGCTGATATTTATTTTATAGCCAAGTAAACATTCTCCAATTTCAATTCATGCTAAATATTTAATCTTAATTGCTAGAACAATTTAAAAGATTAAATCCATTCATTTGTTTAAAACATTTAAATATCATGCATCGTTATAATCAAGTCTATTTAAAATTTATTTAAACTCCTACCTAGTCCCTATTTAATGTTCAGGACCCTTTAAAACCAATTAAGATCAATTTAACACTGTTTACGAAAATTTCCCAGGCAAGGCTCGAGCTTTCCTCCTAATAGCTCGAGCTTCCTAACTATAGCTCGAGCTTTTCTCTAATAGCTCAAGCTTTCGATCCATAGCTCGAGTTTTTCTCCTATGGCTCGAGCATTGCTTCTAAGGCTCAAGCACTGTAACGATGGATCGAGTACTATTACGCGATTCAACCCAGAAACCCTATTGTGAATTTATTCTTTACTGTTTAAGGATTCAAAGGCATGTTTCTAGGTTCCATCAATACACAAACATGAAATTACATCATTTAAAATATGTAAAAATTCATAGAGAAACCAGATCAAGTCCATGAATTTATCAATTCATACAACAAGAACAAATATGAACCAAATTCATAAAACCTATGTTCTAATCCAATTAAACATGCATAATTATTTAGTTTCATGTGTTTAAGAATCCTGGAATCTCCTAGGCATGTATAGATTCATAAATTAAATGGAGAGAGATAGTAGAAGAACTTGCCTTAAACTTTCGGATCGAAAGTTAAACTTCTTCTTCCTTGATCTTCTTCTCTAAAGGTTTTTCTCCTCCTTCATTCCTTCCTCTTCCTCCTTCTCTCTCTAACTCTCTTTCTCTCTAAAATATATTACATGATATATTTCTATCCCCCTTTTACAAACTTATAGTTATATATTTATAGGATAAATAATAACCCTATTCCTTTTCCCAATCCAGGTCAACTTAATAATAAAATAATAAAATTAAAATATTAAAAAGGTAACTTAAAATATGTTATGTATATAATCTATGTATATCATTATTAAATAAATAAAATATATACATCAGATTATTTATTAATAGATTATTTATTAATACTTAAGTTACCATAATATTATAAGGTAACTTAAAACATGATACCTATAAAATCTATGCATATCCTTATTATATAAATATATAAAATTTATACATCAGATTATTTATTAATACTAAAGTTACCATAACATTAATTAATAAATTATTTTCCTTTTATATTTATATGTATATACATATATATTTATACATATACATATACAACTATCCATGGGTAATTATCCATACCCATTAAACCTCCTATCTAAGTAGTCCATGGGACCCAATTGGTTGGCCCATTACTACTAACCTTAACCATAAAATAAAATAAAATAAAATAAAACAAAACATTTAATCATTTAATCTACAATTAATTACAATTTAAGCACATAATCTAATAAATAAATAATACAAATAACACCTAGACAAATAGCCAATTAATCAAGTAACACTTAATTCAATTAAATACATAAGCAATTAGTCAAATAATCAATTAAACCATTAAAAATGTAATTAAAACAAATAAATAAGTACTGAGACTATCCTTTTAAATTTAGGGGTATTACATTCTTCCTCCCTAATAAAAGGAATTCCGTCATTGGAATTCGCCCTTACTTTCTTCCATTATTTCTGAAAACTGTGAGCGAATTACATCCCCTTGTTCCCAAGTAAATGCAGCCTCACTATGATGGCTCCACTTAACTCCAATGTATCAAGTAGTATACTTGGTTCCTATATTTAAGAAACACAATAATCATACAATTCATAGGTTGTATTGAATAACAACGTAATCCACCCAACTTAACAAGGTAATAGTTTATATTCCTCCAAGTGCCATAGAATATAAGCACAAAACTCCTATGCACCCAGCGCTAATGATTTGGTAACACTAATCCAGAGGCGACTACCTCAATTTATAAACACAACCTTCTAAAAGTCAATGTAATAAGTAAAATTGACCTTTCTCCAAAAATCGTCTTGCTTCCTATATGAAAGACATAACGAGCAAACTAATCCCTGATAGAAAACTCTAGTGTACGAGTTCGACTATTTACAACATCCTACTGCCGCCTCCAAATCGCGCGCAGTCCATTACAAAGGAGAGTATTTCTCTCCGACATATTTTTAAATACAGTCAAGGTTTGATTGTACAACCTTAGTTACCATTTCAAACCAACAAATAAGAGGTCTGCATTATGAAAAATACAAAACCTCCAAAGTTGTCACACTCCAACCTTCTTGTGCAAACATTACCACAGATAAAATTGAAAAACGAAGTAAATTCTTCCAATTGTCCATGAAAACCTAGGATATACGCCTCAAACATATCCTTTATAGTCTAATTTAATCTCTCTATCAATTCCTCCGTCTAGAGATATAAAGC